ACAATGGTCATACATCTAAGTCATAACGAACGCTACGAGAAAGAATGTCGTCAAACCTTGAGACAAGCCCGCACCTGCGGGCAGGAGCAATAAATGACGAATAAGGAGCGCATATAGGTAGGCAGGTTTCAGATGAGAGCGCTTCGCGAGGCCTGCGACTCCGAATCGAACGAGGCATCGACGACGCGCCCAGGGATCTCAACGTCCTACGAGCACAGCTCAGCCAATGCAGCAAAATACTGAACCAGATCCAACGCACCTGGTCCTTGGCGACCCCGTCCGGCATGCTGCAGACGGCCTGCGAGCCGTCCGATGTGCCCGAACGCCCGAGGATGCTCGCGAGCTTCGAGAGATGGACAGAGATGGCCTGACCAGCGTGCATGTCGCGCGAATTAAGCAGTGCAAGCAGAGAGTTGAGCATCACTGTTCCCGCATGTCAGCGTTTTGGCGCAGGTATGAAGAACGTGGCGGACGCCGCACGTTTCGGCAGAACCATGGCAAAGGCGATGAAGACAAAATTGTGCGGCATGGCGGCGTACTGTGGGCTCTGATGTCAGCTGTACGGTGTGTATATAGATGGAGAGGGGGGTTTACTGTGATGACAGAGGCAATGGCCACGGAACTTTGCAAAGGATCAGTATCGTTGAGACCCCTGCGAGACGCTCGGGAACGCACCTTGTTAATGCGCATGTGTTTATGCTGTAGAGGATGAGCGTACGAATGAGCGAGTCGGTCCTGCAGAGGTCAAGGATAAAGATTTAAGTTTGCCGGTAAAGCTACAAAAAATGTCAGACTGGACGTGACGCACCGCTTGAAGCCCGTGCGACGCCTGATAAGCATCGTGCAGAGCGCAGCCGCGATGGCGCAATCTGTGAAGGCCTGAATGCTAAATGTAGCATACCAAATCCACTTCGCGGATGTCAGAATGAAGGACGAGGGGCAGGGCGGCGAGATGCATACGGCATATCGGCGGTTAAACTCGGTATAATCAGGGACTTCGCGACTACTGCCAATCAATAAGATTGCACGAAGTTTGAGATGTGCTTACGCAAATATGCCGATGGCTGACGGATGTATTAGTAGGGAGAGGTAGAAACGGCGACCAAAAGCAGTGCGTACCTAAAGCACCAGCTGTACGATGAGGACATGAGTACCATAATGGTGGTAATTGAACTGGACTAACCGAAGCCGACAAGAGCGGGTGGCATCTGGAGCATCTTGAGCTAGCCTTATGGAATTGAAGCGACCAAGGGCTCACAATAAATATAAACGCCCAAAGCTTTCCACTGACTAGCACGTTTCGTAAGCCACTCATCCAGACTGTGCCTTACAAAGGGCATACGCACACTTGTATATCCTGTATGCAAAGATTCTGCGTATACAAAAGCAAATCAACAAACCGTCGATGAGTCCTCGTAAGAAACATACGCAGTCACTATCACCTCACTGAGGTCCTGATTCGAGAGTTGAGATCGAGCTCCAGCTGTAGAACAAGTGAGGCTTACTCCGAAGACAACATCCACTGCAAAGCTCCTGGGAAACGTAAACATATTTAGAGGCAAGTTTGTCTATGATAAATAGGAAACGTACCATGGACACTGTGTCAAGGCAAGCGGATTCATGAAATTTGTTACGGAATAGTAGTACACGCTATGTGAGGTAAACGCGAGATGAAGACCGTCAACAACCCTGAGGATATGTATGAGTACCGTCATTTGAATGATTATTGTGAGGGATATACCATAGGAAGAATATCTGCGGCCATCGATGAGCACAAATAGCTGCAGCCACCAGAGAGGGCACTTACCGTTCGTCTCATCAGGTCACTATCGCGAGGATTTCGGTGAAAGTAGACGTAAACTTGCACACTCGTGATACCGAAAAGTCTGCTCAGCGGTAACATCGCCGCGTTAGAAGGTTGACCACATGTTCAGTACCCTGATACCACTAACATTGCCGCCAGGATTTTGGCTATCGCGCAGGTCAGCCAATGTTTATGTCCTCACT